TCTACCTCTGCGAGAAGAGAAACCTCAGAGGCTGCCAGGGCAGTGGGAAAACCCAAAAAAACAGTGCCCAAACTTGGGCTGGAGGTTGGGGGTTTCCCACCAACTGGGGACCCAGCCCCAAACTCTACAATCTCCTTATTTTTCCCCCCAAAAAGCCACGTCAGCTGACTCCTCTTGCAGTCAACTCGCCCTCATCACGCCGCTCCGCCAGCAGACAAAATCCGCGGGGAAGAGGGAGCTTTGCTCCCACCGGGGCAGTGCCACCCTCAGGGAGCCTCGTGGGCTCTGAAAAACACTTTTAATGGTGAAAAACGTCGTGAAAAACATCATCCCCTTGGGAGCCACAGCCCAGAGGCAACACTGCTCTGAAACAGGGCACAGGGGAGACCTGAGCATAGCAAGGGGGCTTCACCAAGGTGGGAAATGGCCAGGGGAAAACAGGGCTGAAAATTTTTAAAAATTGTAATAATCCTAAGATTATTGACATGGTTTTAAGCAACCACGAGGAATCAGGACCTGGAGGTCATGTTTTAGCTTGCGCTGCAGCTGGGTAAGATGCTCAGCCAGGGCCCGCTGCGCTTGCCGTGGTCTCAGAGATAATTATATCGCAGGCAGCTGTGCCCGTGTGTGCCTCCGTTTACATTAACGCCCACAATTAAGCGCTGAAATTAGGACGACCTGATTTTCCAAGAACTGCGAGTAATTCCTACGGGGAGCCGGGACAGGCTCACAGCTCCAGGGAGAGGCCAGAGCTCAGCCCCAAGCGTGAAACCCCTGAGCTCGGAAGCGCCAGCGGGGAATTGGAGATCAAAGGGATTAATTTAATTAAAGATTCAAGGCAAATGAAGGTCCCCGAGCCCCCACCCGTGATTGAGACTCACCTTGAGGCCCCTCTCGTAGCGCCGCAGCCTGGAGCCGTCCCCGGCCTGCCGGGCGCTGGCAATGGCCGCCCGGTACATCCCCGCCCGCTCTGTCAGTGTTGACTCGATGCCGCTGGGCTCTGGTGGTGGCTCCGGCGCCTGCGGCCACCCCAGGAGACACATTTGGATCGACCCCACCAGAGCCGGGTCCCCCTGCCAGACCCCAAGATCTGCCCGGATCAGGGGCTTGGAGCAGAACCGGCGGCTCCGGCTCACACCAGGGCTGGCGCGGCCACTCTGCTCCATGATTTGAGGGGCTCAAGGAGCAGCGGGAGAGCCCCAACAGCTGCTGGCAAACAGGGATTGCCCGAGACTGGCTGAAAAGGGGATTGTCAGACTCATTTCTCATAAATTTCAAGAAATTTGCTAAATCCTGTCTCCACACTCGTGTTTTCCAACGCTGCCCGTTAGGAAGGGTGAGGCAGAGGGAACCCAGCTCCTCCCCCCAACTCCCAGGAAAGTTTTTATCTCTCAGGGGGGCAGGTTCACGTGACAGAATCCCGTTTTGCCACCAGTAAAAATGAGCAAAATGACACAAAAGGCTAAAAAAGGCCGGATCCAGCACCAGCCCAGCAGAATGGGAGCCGAAAGACGCGTTGTACCTTGGCAGGAGGCGCCGGTGTGGCCGTGCTCCCCTCCCCTTCACCCAGCACCTCCTGCAGCTCAGCCTGCAAAGCACCAGGAGTTCCCTCAGCCACGATCCGGGGCAGAAAAGCCCTTTTTTGGGCCAAGAGGATCCCGAGGAGCGAAGCCTCAGGGATGGAGGCACAGAGACCAGAGCTCCCCTGAGGGTTCAAGCCCCTCCTCACCATGAGATCATCTTCGTCCGCCAGCTCTTCGTCGTCATCCCCCTCCTCCTCGTCCGGGTCCCTCATGCAGAGTGCCGCCATCTTCTCGATCGCCTCCATCGGCAAAGGCGCTGCAGGAGCAGAAGCAGCACGAGGGGGTTTTCAGGGCCATGTACCTGTTTCTTGACAGTTTAAGCCCACACACACGGGAGCGCAGCCCGGGAGGGCAGAAACAACCCAAGAGGAGCCGCCATTATTAATTATCCCAGACATCGATGAGCTCGCGGGGTGGCAGCGCTCACTTTTCCCCTTGGGCTTCTCTCCTGGCACAGCTCGGCCTCCCACCAGAGCCAGCAGCTCGGCCTCCAGCTCAGCAGCATCGTCCCCGGCGTCGTCCCCCGCCATCCCCTCCGGAGAGAGGTCCACCAGCAAACCCATCTGCGGGGAGGGAGGGAAGGGGGGCACGATGCTAACGACGCCTCGTTAGAGCGAGGGGACCCCCTGGGATCCGGCTGAGGGAAGGAAGGAATCGCTGCAGATTTTCAGAAGCTGGAAGCCGGTGCGCCTCATGGTTGGGGACTGAGCCCACGGTGACGCCGCCACGGCGATCCATGAAGCAGCGAAGCGAAGCAAAGTGATTAAACTAATTAAAGCACTTAAATAAAGATGACAGGTAGCACAGCTTCGCCAGGCTCAGCAACACAAGCCCCACAACGGGAACAACCAGCATCGCCGCCGGTGCCCATTTAACCAAAGCCCAGCCCAGCGCGACCAAAGGCCACGCATGGGAGGTGCGGCAGGAAAGCGCCCGACGGCCCTGGCCCTGACTGTGGCGGCGGCGGCCCTGCCCGCCACGGCTCAGGTTTCCCTCCACCGCCAAAGGCCCGCTCGTGGCGTCGCCCCGTCCCTCCCACGCGGGTGGGGTGACATACCCAGCACCGGGAGGAGGGCCTGTACCTGCCTAGCGATGGCGGCGCCGCGGCCCGGCGGTGGCCTCCGGGCTTTGCTCATGTCTCTGTCCCCCGCTGGGCCGAGCTGGGGAGGGGGAGAGCGCCCCGTCAGGGTGCGGGGTCCCAGCACCCTCCAGAGAGCCCAGATAGAGGCCCCTCCCCCTGTCCTTCGACCTCACCCTTCCGCGACCCTCGCCGAGCCCCCTGCTCACGTTTCCCAGATTTCTTGGCAGCCCCCTCCCTTGCCACAGTCGTCCCCCCAAGCACCCCAGGGCGCTGCCACGCTCCCCCTTAAGCCCTGACTCTTCCTCTTTCCATCAGAGGATTCACCCCCTACCCCCCAGCCCTTTCCCTACCTTCTCCCCCACTCCCCACAGAAGGTCCCACTCCCCGACACAGCCCCCCATAAGGTCCCTTCCCTCCACAGCCTCTCCCAAGGCCCCACTTGCC